CTGCCTCAGCCTCCTGAGTAGCTGGGATTACAGGCACGCACCACCATGCCCAGCTAATTTTTTTGTATTTTTAATAGAGACGGGGTTTCACCATATTGACCAGGATGGTCTCGATCTCTTGACCTCGTGATCCACCCGCCTCGGCCTCCCAAAGTGCTGGGATTACAGGCTTGAGCCACCGCGCCCGGCCCAGTTATTTCTAATTTGTTGTTGTTGAGACAAGTAGCTCTGTCGCCCAAGCTGGGGTTCAGTAGCGCTATGTTAGCTAACTACAACCTCCACCTTCCAGCGTCAGGTGATTTTCCTGCCTCAGCATCCCCAGTAGCTGGGATTACAAACACGTAACACTACGCTAGCCTAATTTTTTTTGTATCTTTAGTAGAGACAGGGTTTCACCATGTTGGCAAAGTTGGTTTCAAACTCCTGCCCTCAGGTGATTGGCCCGCCTCTGCCTCCCAGAGTGCTAAACTGCAGGCATGCGCCACCGCGCACGGCCAACTAAAAATTAATTTCAATATCAAAGAATTTTCCTGGATCCCCCGTTGACTTCTCAGGGAGATGCTATTTCCCAGAGAGCTGAGCTGCGCCAGCCTCACTGGCGGGTTTCCTTTCCATAACCCGGAAAAAAGGCGCCCAGAGCGAGATTGAGGGAGCCTGAGGTGCTGCCCCCTTCTCGCCCCCGCGGACTTTTCACAGCACAGGCATCTCCTCCCCGCATCCCGCCGCGGCACCTTAAGGCCCTGCTCTGGCCACGCCCAGGCTCCACCCACCACATCTTGTCCCCTCCGCGTCGTGGTCAGGCCCCGCCCAGCTCCTCAGGGGTCCCGCCCCGGTCTGGCTTCTGTCCTGCGCTGATTGGTACGGACCCGGAAGCGGATGGCGTCGACGGGAAGTCTCACCGCACCGGGTGAGTTTTGGTCTTTCTTTTCATGTCTGCACTTCACAGGCATCTAGTGATGCTATACTGGGGACTTGGGGTCCCCACAGACCTGGAAATTCCGTCCCCTGTTAACCCAGAGCAAATTGAGACGTCCGTGTGAGAGTGCGTGAGTCGCCCTGAGGCTGGTCCTCACCGGTTTTTCTGCAGTGGGGCCGTGCAGACACTTCCTATAGGGAAGTTTTCCTGCTGAAAACCCTTCCTTTCCCCTTCTCTCGCCTCGCGCTGTTTCAAGTTCTCACCCGCCAGCTGGATTCCCATGCTGGGCCTCCCAGCCTCACTCTCGTGGGACCTTTGAGTGCAGCGCTGCAGCCTGGTCCCGAGGAGGCTCGTTTTCTGCCTGGTCCTCGGAACATGCAGACCCCACTCCTGTCCTAAGGCACCATCGCCCTGAAACCTCCCTCTTCGTGCCGGGCCCTGCTGCTCCCCATTTGCAACCCTTGAAAAATGTGCTCTTCCGGGAGGCCCTCTTACCCCATCTTCTTCCTGTTTTACCGGAAGGCAGCCGTGAGTGTGAGATGTTCAGATTCTTGGCTGTTGAACATGGAATTGAAAAAAAGAAAAAACCCGCAAAGTAACAAAAGAAGAAAGCCGCAAAAGCAGGAATTTGTTCAATCAAGAAAGCACTTCACTGGGTGGGAGCGGGTCCAAGCGAGCGTCTCTACGGCCCCGTGTGCAAAGTTTTGGGAGTTAAAGTTTCTGTTGAATTCCTATGGGGCTACTCCTTATCTGGAAGAAAGATTTGGTCCTTGGCTGATGAAAATCTGAGGTGAAGTGGCCCGAGGTCAGAGCAGATGGGTGCCCTATGCAGAAGGGGTGGCCAGTGCTTAGCCGTGGCCACTCCTGGGCTCTTTAGTTTTCCCTCTGAGACATGGTGGAAGGGGGAGGGCTGCAGGGAGAGTGGCCTGTGATCCTTTGTTTACTCCATGTGGGGAGATGGGTTTTTATTTTGGTCTAGTTTTGGAAAGTTCACCTTAATTGACCTTAGATTCCCTGCCCCCAGACCCAGGACCCAAGTGTTTCCCTTTTCTTCTTTTTTTTTTAAAACGGGTTTCACCATGTTGGTCAGGCTGGTCTTGAACTCCAGACCTCAGGTCATCCACCCGCCTTGGCCTCCAAAGTGCTTGGATGACAGGCGTGAGCCACCACGCCCGGCCCCTTTTCTTCTTTTTTTTTTTGGAGATGAGTCTCACTCTGTTACCCAGGCGAGAGAGCGGGGACATGATCACAGCCCACTACATCGTCAACCTCCTGCGATCAAGGAATCCTCCCACCTCACCTTCCGGAGTAGCTGCGACCATGGATAAGGGCCACCACACCGTGCTAATTTTTGTGTTCTTGGTAGAGACGGGCTTTCGCCATGTTCCCCAGGCTGATCTCCAACTCCAGCTGCATCAGCCTCACAAAGTGCTGGGTTTACAGTCCACAGCCTCCTGATTAGCTGAGACTTCAGGCGCGTGCCACCATGCCCAGCTAATTTTTGTATTTTTAGTAGAAACCGCCTTTCACCATGTTGCCCAGCTTGTTCTCAAACTCCTGAGCTCAACTTTTCTGCTTGCTTTGGCCTCCCAAAGGGCTGGGATTACAGGCGTGAGCCACAACATGGCCAGTCCTGGAATTTTTTAGAGAAGAATGAACATTATTATTATTATTATTATTATTTTCTTCCCTCCCCTCCCCACCTCCCCTCTCCCCCCTTCCCCCTTCCCTTCCTCCCCCATCCCCCCTCACCCTCCCTCCTCCTCCTTCCCTCCCCCCTCCCTCCCCATCCCTCCCTTCCCCTGTCCCCCCCTCCAACCTCCCCCCTCCCCCTTCCCCTCCCCTCCGCTTTCTTCTTTCTTTCCTTTTTTTTTTTTTGAGGTAGAGTGTCACTCTGCCAAAATGCAGTGGCACACTCTGGGATCACTGCAACCTCTGCCTCCCTGACTCAAGTGATCTTTTTTCAGCTTCGCAAGTAGCTGGGACCACAGAGCTGTGCCTTGAAGCCTGGCTACTTTTGTGTGTTTTTGGTAGAGAAGGGGTTTCACCATGTTGCTCAGATTAGTGTCAAACTCGTGGGCTCAAGTGCGCTGCCTGCCTCAACTTGCCAAAGTATTGGGATTATAGGGGAGAACCACCAGGCACAGCTGGTCTTGGAATTTTCTAGAGGAGGAAGACCAAGGCAGCCTATTGGCCCTTCCAGGCCATCACATGGGAATCAGCCACACCTCCTTCTTACCCTCCTTAGAGTTTCTCAGGATAATTTTGTGAACTGTCTCCTGCAGTGAGGCTCAGTGAGTTCACCTGTAACAGAGGTAAGGAAGAACAACAGAAAAGCTCAGAGTGACACTGATGCCTGAAATGACTGACAAAATACAGTGAGTGGCTTTTCTTTACTGGGAGAGGGTAGTGCTCATATTTTTCTTTTCTTTCTTTTTTTTTTTTTCTTTTTTTTTGCACAGAGTCTTGCTCTGTCACACAGGCTGGAGTGCTGTGGTGTGATCTCAGCTCACTATAACCTCCAGTCCTGGGTTCAAACAATTCTCCTTTCTCAGCCTCCCAAGTAGCTGAGATTGTAGTCACCCACCAGAATCCCTGGCTAATTTTTTCTATTTTTAGTAGTTTGCTGAGATGGTCTCAACATCTTGACCTTGGGATTCACCCACATCAACCTTCAAAAGTGTTGGAATTATAGGCCTGAGCCCCTCTGCCTGGCTAGTGCTTAGTTTTAACTCAAATTATAAATGGATTCCAGTCCTCCAAAAATCAAAAGAAAAAAAAGAAAAAGGCACAAGAAGCAATAAAATGGGGGATTAGACTCAAATTACCTTGAACCTTATCATCTCATGGTTTTCACCTACTTATACAGCTCCATGTCCCCTTTAGGCCCCTCCCCTGAGCACTACAATCCTCTGTCCACTTGTCTCCTCCTCTCTCTGTGGGGACATCACACAGGCGTCACCACCTTCATGTGTCCATAAGTGACTTCTAAACCCCGAAACACATTCTCTGGCAGTCTGCACATCTCAGATGAGGGTGACTGTAGAGCCAGGGACTTAGCTGAACTTGACAGCATGTTTTTTAAATATGGGAAATAATTTATAATATAAAGAGAAAATTATATGTATACATGAGAGGAGTGAGAAGATACATAACTACCTAAATTATTATTTTTTTAATGAGTTTTGCTCATTGCCCAGGATGGAGTGCAGTGCTGCTATGTCAGCTCACTGCAACCTCTGCCGGGTTCAAATGAGTCTCCTGCCTCAATCCCTCAAATAGCTGGTATTACAGGTGGATACCACCAGAAGCTAATTTGGTTGTTTTAGTAGAACTCCTGACCTCAGGTGATTCACCCAAATTGGCTTCCCAAAGTGCTTGGATAACAGACTTGAACTCTGCCACTGGCCATTTTGTTTTGTTTTGTTTTGAAATGAACTTTTGCTCTTGTCTCCCAGGCTGGAGTGCTGTTGTACGTTCTGAGCTCACTGAAATCTCCACCTCTAGGTTGAATCAATCTCCTGCCTCCAGCTCCCAAGTAGGTGTGATAACAGTCGACTTCCAAAATTCTTCTGGGTTGTGGGAGAAAAAAGTTTGAAAACCTTGTTTCTATGCATCTGTGCCCCTAGGACCTCCCTGACCCCATCTCCTACCTGTGCCCTCCTCTCTCCCACTGCTCCAGCCACTCGGGCGCTTTCCTTTTCCTGGGGCTGAGGTGGCTGCTGTCTCAGGGCCTTCACTTGAGCTGTCTCTCCCTAGGACTCTGGTCCCTCAGATGTAAGTCACAAGCAGCCTTTCTTCACTAGGTCTTTGTTCTGATATCACCTTCTGTGTGGAAAACCTTGTGATCTCCCACAGCCCCCATTTGACATTGCATCTGTGAACCCAAAAATCCTCAGACAGATCTCACTTAATTTAAAAAGACTCTTCTATCAAGGTTTAGGGCACACCTGTGACACAGCCTCAGGAAGTCCTGGCGACATGTGCCCAAGGTGGTGGTGGCACAGCTTAATTTTATACATTTTAGAGAGACATGAGACATCAGTCAATATATGGAAGAGGTTCATTGGTTTGGTCTGGAAAGGTGGGAAAACTTGAAGCAAAAGCAAAAAGACTTAAAGCAGGTAGGGGGCTTCCAGATCACAAGTAAATGACACACAAATACCACATATCCTAGGTGATAGTAATCTGTGTGCAGCACTGAGGGTCAAGGCTCTGTGTCCTCCATTTCTGAGGACTGAGCTGAGCCTGTGATCTACAGAGAGGGGAGGGGCTGTGCTCTGGGTGGGGTTTGGTCAGGGCTGGGTCTGTGTCCTGAAGGGGAGCTCAGTCCAGCCCAGCTCCCCACTGCTGCCTGGTATGTGGTGCTTCTCCAAGAGGGGAGTGAGATCCGAAGACCAGGGTGAAACATACACTTGTAGGTGTTCCTGTGGGACTGTCTTCTCTCTGCATGATCTCTGGTGCAGTAGGCAGCAGAGGCTCATCTTTCTATAGGGTGGGGTCTCTCCCATGTGTGTTTGTCACAGGAATGGAGTGAGTTGTTTCTAACCGTAAATCTATATTTTTCACATACAGGATTGTTTTCTAAAGGCTCACATTACGTGAGGAAGCAGCTCAGAAGAGCAAAGAAAAGGAGCCAGGCATGGCTCTTCCTCAGGTAAAGTGACACTCCTCGGTGGATTCATCTGTCTCTTTCCTTTCTGAAATTCCAGGTATTGTAGTAGCCAGTCTGTTGTGAGTCTGAAGCATCCTGCCTGACATGTTGGCTCGCACTCAGCCATGCCTTCCCTCAGTTCCTGTCATCTGCTCTGAGATTCCATATTCTGTGACCCAGTGCCATGAACTCAGGAAGAGGCTCCACTGAGCATGGCCATGGGGAGGGGTGACACCAGACCTGGATGGACATGGGGTTTGGGGCCCCCGGTTCAGTGCTGATCGGCAGCCTGGATTATTCATTGGCCACACCTGGATATCAGCTTTTTGTGAACCAGAGAAACTACGTATGAAACACATAGGTTAATGTGCGCAGATATCTGGTAAATTCGGAAAAAGGAGACCAATAAGTGGAGATATTTTGTGTCTGTTTCAGTAATGCATTGGAAGCCACACTTGTGGATCAGCATGTCTCTGACTCCAAACTTTGTTTTTTATTTTTTAAGAGACACGATGTTAGTTTGAGTGGGGTGGATCTCTTGGGCTCTGGAGTTCAAGACCAGCCAGGCCAACGTGGTGAAACCCCAACTCTACTAAAAATACAAAAATTAACAGGGTGTGCTGGCACACACTTGTAATAATCTCAGGTACTCAGGAGGCTGACGCAGGAGAATCACTTGAACATGGGAGGTGGAGGTTATAGTAAGCCGAGATTGTGCCACTGCACTCCTGCCTGGGTGACTGAGACTTCATCTCAAAAACAAAAAATAGAAGGTGTCGCTCTGTGGCTTAGGTGTGGAGTACACTGGCAAGATTCGATGTTTACAGCAGCCTCAACTCCTGGGCTCAAGTGATTTCTAAGTGGCCTCTCAAAGAGCTAGAATGATAGGTGTTTCTCACCACACGCGGCCAGTATTTCTATATATATATATTTTTAGTCTTGCTCTGCCACCCAAGCTGGAGTGCAGTACTGTGATCTTGGCTCACTTCAAGGTCCACCGTCTGGGCTCATGTGATACTTCTGCCTCAGCTTCCTGAGTAGCTGAGACTACAGATACGTGCCACCACATCAGCCTATTTTTGTATTTTTAAAACATTTTGATTTATTTTGTGTTTTTAATAGAGACTGGGTTTCGCCATGTTGGCCACATTGGTCTTGAACTCCTGATCTCATGATCTGCTCGCCTTGGCCTCCCGAAGTGTTGGCATTACACACATGAATCCAGCTCTGTGTTTTGTTCTTCTTTGTATATTTTTCATATTTGTGAGTAACTCCCCATATAGGTACCGACAAAGGTGAGCTAAGCAGAATCCTGGCTCAATTAAGGCCTGAAGAATATCTCAGTTTATAGCGTTACTACTCAGTGATTTTTGTTTATATAATCCTTTATATAATCGTGTAATAGTTTATACAATTAGGACTTGAAGAATATATTAGTATATAATGTCACCACTCAGTTATTCCCCTTTATATAATCCTCTATATATTATCATCTGTTAGTTCATACATTGAGTGCCTAAAGAATATCTTACTACTCAGTTACATCCGTATATATCTTAGTTCACAATCGGAGGAATGCCTATAGTAGACACAGTAGAGAGCATGAATTAAGGAATAAGCAGGTTATAGTGGGAGGAATGTCTGGAGCAGCCACAGTGCAGAGCATGATTTAAAGGAAAATCAGTTATACCAGGACAAGAATTAATGGCCAAGGCGGCAGCGTTCAGTATCATAAAGATACCCATGTTGGCAGGCCTGGAGCAAGAGCCGTTCTTCCTGATAAAGGAGTTGTAGGACCTTGCTCCAGTTCTTGTGGAAGGCTGCCCTCAGAACGGCAATCCACCTTGGTGACAGTGAACTTTATCAGCTCTTGTTACTGTGCTGCTCAAAAGCATCTTCCCATAGAACTCATTGGAAGGTGCCAGCTGGTTCTGGTAGACCCTGACATCTCTGTCACTGCTGTGTGACTTAAAGCATCCTCCTATAAATCTTCTTAGAAGTAGCATGCCCATAGATAGAGGTATTGCACACTGCACCCTCTTCACTGGGCACAGCCCACCTCCATGCCTTGGTGACCTAATGGGGGTGGATCCCTTACTGCACATGGTGCTTGCCTCCATGACCTAATGAGAATGGACCCCTTGCTGTGCACTGTCCACCTCCTAGCCTGGGTGCCCTAATGGTGGCGGACCCCTTGTTTTATTGCTCATGACCCTATCACTATCCTTAAAGATGATTTCATTCACTGCCCTGCCCCCTAACGTATACACAATAAATAAACACGCTTCTGGATGTTTGGGGCCTTGCCTGACTCTGCTTATAGGTGGCATGGCCCCCTCAGTCCAGCTGTATTTTCCTTACACTTCTGTGTCCGGTCTCTTTATTTCTCAGATTCTGCTCCTCAGCACAACATAAGGAACACCCCATGACCCTGTGGGGTCCTCAGCCCTACAATATTGTCCATAAAATCAAGACTTCCGCTGGGACTTAGGGCATCTTAAAATCTGTCGTGAAAAAGTGCAGTAAAATGCAACTATAGAGAAAAAATGTTCAAAAACACCTTACTCTAGGCTTGTCAGAACACAGTCTGATGAAATTGATACTTAATTTCCCTTTTCTCATTTCACGTGAAGGTGATAACTCAGTCCTCCATAATGTTTCGTTGAAATGTATTTTTCATTTTAGGGACCCTTGACTTTCAGGGATGTGTCTATAGAATTCTCTTTGGTGGAGTGGAAATGCCTGACCCCTGCTCAGAGGGCTTTATACAGGGAAGTGATGTCGGAGAACTACAGGAACCTGGAGT